CAATCGAAGACACCTAGTAGATCCGTTGCTCCAAAAATTATCAAACTTCTTTCAAAATCGAATAAAGATATAAGATTCATATAAACGCCGAGACACTGCAACATAAAGGAAAACGAGGAAGCAGATAAAGCAGCTAGAAATGGAATTAACAATTTCAAAAGTGATAATAAAATTTATTTTTTTTCGCTCGTAGACGTACGAAAAAAATATATTAACGAATACTGCATGGATCTGTGGAACACAGAATGGCACATAACTAATAAATAATGGAGAGAAATCAAACATTCTGTTGAACTCTAACTAAAATACATAGATCTAAATAGGAAAAAATAGGTAAATCTCAATCGAATAAGAATTGATCATACCAAATTTACATGGACACCTTATGGTAAAGATAATATCCGCCCTTATGCACAACATGCAACACAAACAACTCCATAAAGCACACCATTGTCTAGTGCCTAAATTTCAAAGAAGCCAGGAATGAATTCTGAAAAATTCTGGACAATTTGTATGAAGCAATCGGTACATTTTCAATCTCCTTCAACGTAATTTCTCAACTTGAAAAAATTTAAACGTGTACGTTATAATGTAAAAATGTAATATTTATGCAAGCCAATAACCTATGTAGTTGATTCTAGAGGTAATAATATGCTCTATTGTTATTGTGGGTATATGTTATAATATGGCAATCGATACAAATTTCGACCTTTATTCTAAACGCCTGGACGAGGTGTTTGTAATCGACTTTATGGGTCTTAGGAATATTCGGTGTACATGTTATTATACGCAAACCACGCTGTACTCAAGTCAACGTCAACAGCGTATTAACTTTAATTAGCTATTATTAGATTAGTCTCGTAAACGTCATACGCGTAAATCCCCCAATCGCAATATTATATATCTGCAGCTACACATAATATTATCGGGTCGTATATTAACCGAGTAAGTTTATATAACGAATACACCGCAAGAATATGAATAGATTAAACAAACGATAGAATTGAAGGATTTACAAAATATAGTATCGGCTGCCAACTATGTAGTTTCGCAGTTTAAATTAAATTGAGTGCCGTAAAAATTATACAATATCTTATTATCAGATAGTAGTGATAATACATCGTATATTTTATGGTTAAATTCACTTGGTTAATGTGTGTATGGTCAAATTGAGATTTAATTAAAAATTACAGAAAAACAAATATAATTTGGGCATTTAAACAATATTTACAAACAATTTGTTGCTCGAGTTGTTGAAATGAAATACCCCCAAATAACTTTTACGTTGGAAATATTTTAATTTAGTTGATAACGACCAGAAGTGTGATATCACCATAACCGCCAGTTGTTGCATGAAAACAATCGAGTTAACTAGTTATTGGCGGTGTTCAACATATTAATACGACACTGTAAAAACCATAGTATGTGTATATTGTAAACTTTGTCATTTTCGGTCGACATTGTATTGAAATGAACATAATAACGACCGATATATTATGAATAACTCAGTAACACGTAATAATGATTAATAACGACACGCACAAATTTCAGAGTACCTATGCTAATTATAATAATAATATCGTACCGAATACGATAGTAGGTGATATATTTTTTATTAATTAAATTATTCCGAACTGTTGACATACGTTGAAACCGAGAAAGCCTTTAACCGTATGTCAAAAAAAATCTTCAACGTTTAATACTATATTGTAGGTACTATAGGTAGTCATTTCATTATTATTATCATGATTATTGGTTTAGGTACACATATGCTTAATAAAGACTGCAATTTGTGTAATCTACAAAAAAATAAATTGTATACCTAATACCGTAAGGAAAGAATGAAAACCACGAACAATATGAAGTTGCAGTATATCTATGTATCGATGTAATACACTTCACGAAGAGTTCACCTTATATGTACAACTACTACGGTGGAATACCAGACAGCGAACTACTGCAGTATGCGTATAATATATAATATATTATATAATATCGATTTTATAGATACGACGGTAGTAAGTTTGTGTGTATGTGTGTGTGTGTGTATGTAATTTGTAAGCTGTATAATGTTTAAATTTGTTAACTGACTCTATATACACATAATATATAATATATGTACACACTACACATAATAAACATTCAGAGTGCACTAATCCCCAAGATTTAATGCAGAAAATTATGGAAAATAAATAAAGCACTATATATCGATTTGTAGAAAAGAAACGGGTGTTTTATCAATAGAATTGAATCGCATACTCGAAACGTATCGTCAATCGTTCGCCGATTGTTTGACCTTCGAAGTTTATCCTCCCCGGTTCGATGTTAAAAGTTTACACTGCTGCACGGCACATATATAGGTAGGTATATACAAAAATACAATATACTCAATCCAGACCGTCGTCGTTCGGTTGTTTTGCGGACGATGACGTATAGGTTAAACTACTTAGCTATAGCTAGATCTTTAAAAAAAAAGTTTTTCAAATTCTGCCGCAGCTCATTGGGGTGTCAAAAACTCGAAGTATTTCTCGATCAATTTGCTGGTATAATCGAATTTCCGAAACGGTTTAATCCGACGGCGAATCATTTAAACATATTATGTACTCTATAAGTTTATGGTGAACTCGAAAGGTGGGAAAAAATGGTCGATGAGTTGATTCGTTCGCGTGCATGGGAATTATTATTATTATAAATTATAATTAAAGTTCACATTCTATATCATATTATAGTATGGGTACATTATATATATATATGGGGTACATTATATATATGTATGGGGTACATCGTACATGAGCTTTCTATCGACCCGTAGGGGAAAAAATGAACGACATGCTACTTATTTGTATGTATCTATATTCTATACATATATCGGACAACATAAAACCCAACCTATATAATGTTCCCATGACCTACCCGACTGGCGAGTATACATAATATTATAATATCTATCGGGTGACTTTGCCGGCCACACAAAATTTAGCTCACGCTAAATAGTCAACACTATCATTATTTAGTCCCCGAGACGCTTTTACTAGAGTAGACGATCTACAAACAAGGGTTGATATCGCAGTATAAATATTTTATAATTTCGTGTTAATCCCATTGAACTGTGGGGTTGTGCATTTTACTTTATATTCGTCTTGATAACCGTCTAAAAATAACAACCCGAATATACGAGTTGTAATTATTATCGTGAACGTCAACGTTGACGTAAACATGCGGTGCACGCTGTATGTGCCTTTTGATCGTCAAGGGTGTGCGCGAGTTAAAATATGTCAATTTACATAGGTATTCGATGCGGTGACGATTCGTGTTCGTAACATCTATTACAAGGATTTGGTTTTCTCTCTCCTTCGGCTATAGGTATACTCGAGGACCCAGACCCGGGGTGAACAAAAACACGCAGCAGTCCAAAAAGTAATATTAAACAGTCACGTAAACACGCAAGCGCAGGTTACGTGCGTGCGTGTGTGTGTCTGTGTGTGTATGTAGAGGAGAGAACACAGAATATCATAAATACGTGAGAATAGACGGAATTTTTGCTACCGGGACCTGGCCGGTAACAAGGGTATGAAACGATACAAATATCATGTCATACTATATATTGGCCCCCGGTTGCAGGTGGTAATATTATGACGTTGACGGTGGTGGTGGCTCGATCGAGTTCGCCGCTGCAGGTGCACCTTATAACACCGCACGGATTACGTGTTATGTGCAGACGTTTTATACCGTTGAACGACGACCCAAACGAAACTCGTAAAGTAATATCGCAACACGGGTAATAATGAAATGAGATGTTCCTACATCATATTGAACGAAAAAACAAACACAATATACTGCCACAGCATAATTACGAATATAATACATAAGGTGCATGCCACTACACAAAGGACTTAAGGGCCTAAAGAACAAAAAACAACTGAACAGTAATAATAATAATAATAATAATAATAGGTGTACAGATAAATAATAATAATAAACGCGTGATGGTAGATACAATTATTATATATATATAGATGTACATATATGTGTATAGTCTCTATTATAGACTGCGGTCAACTACAATAATATATTATAATAAACGGTTAATAAACACACGACATCAACATATAATAACGCAATGTCCATGCAAAACAGAATATAATATTACATCTAAGTCTACGTGTAACAATATGTAATAGTGTGGATATACGCTCTGAATAAAACATTGCACAACGTGCATAATATCGTAGGTAACGCGTAGTTATTGATATTATATTATACGATATCGCGCAATAGTCGAACGAAAATCAGTCGTCGTGACGTGCGGTAGGTACACGACGACGATCGATGAATATCGTATTATATTATATATTCATCACCGCTACAATCCCTCCTCCCCGCAAATACCGTTCTAGCTGCGAAATAATATTATCATCGTCGTCCTCGTCGCATCGTCATATTATCCTCGCTCCATACATTTTTGTTAAGGAGTTGAAGCGCGGGAGGTTTAAAATATGTTTATTTAATGCTGGCCCGCGTATTCAGCCCAAATAGCCCAAATAGCCCAATACGCCGTGAGCTGTCCAAAACATAACATGGTAAACAGACGGCGTTCCGACTTGTCCGAGGATCGAGTGAAAAGTGAAAACGCGGCAAATACCGGTTTCGTCCACCGAGCAACCCCGTCAAAATCTCCGAAAAAGTCGCACAAATCTCTGATACGGTGATTGCCGGCAGCGGCTATGCCCCACTGTACATTATTATCGTCGTCGTGCTCGCCCCCCCCCCCCCCCCGAAAGTTCGAGCCCACAGTTCCCGCGCACCACCCAACCCCCTCCCAAGGGCCGGCGCGCGTTATCGCGATGCCATGAAAACAATTAAGTGGAGCCTACGGCGTCAGCAGCAGCGGCGGCAGCGGCAGCGGTGCAGCAGCGATTTCGACGTAAAACGAGAATACTAAATTAACATTAATACAATATTATGTTCGAACATGACCGGAGACATCAACTACTGCTTACCTGTGTGGTCTTTACTATATCGGTTTTATTATTATTATTTGTGTTGTTGTTGTTGTTTTTTTTTTTCCGAAAAAACCAAAACCGATGAATAATATTCGACGGACAGGCGGCCGTGCGTGCGTGCGGGGGATACGTGAAAAAAAATGTAAAAAAAAAAAGTAAAAAAAATCAGGAAAAACGCGATCGAATTCAGACGACGGCGGAGGCGGCGAACGAGATCGGACGCATCGCGCGCGTCGAACACGAATAGAACAAAGTGTGTCTGTCGGTCGGTCGGTCGGTCGGTCGGTCGTTATCACACACAGCGCGCACGCACACACATCCGAATACACACACACTGACACACACGAGCACAGGCGGGCGCGCGCGCAAACGATTTTACTACCGGCACGCACGCGGGGCAAGACGACGTAGGATACGGAGCGCTGGAAACGATTTGCAGGCGAACGACCAACTAAGCGAGCGGGAGCGCGGGGGCGCGTGCGCGTAACACGCACACACTGTATACTCGGCGGCGGCGGCGGCGGCGGCGTCGGCGGCGTCGGCGGCCGCGGCAGTCTGTATAAATAACGTAAAAATAAGGAGAAAAAAAAAGGACCAAACCAGAAAACTGTGCGTTTTCGTGAGCCGTGCGCGCATGCGCGCACGTCCGTGTGTGCGTCTGCGTTCGTGTGTGTGCGTCTGCGTTTGTGTGTATGCGGCTACGTTTGTGTTTGTTTGGGCGTGTGAGTGTGTTTATTTTTGTTGGGTCAGGCCGTCGCATCGATCCAACAGCTGCTGCTGGAATAAGGCCCGACCGGGCGCGAACGGATTACGTCGATAGGGGGCTGGCCGCCACCGGCGACCGGAGAGTCGGCGGCCGCGACGACATCTAGGCACCGAGCTCGGAGGTTTGCGCGGTACGAACGTGCCGCCCAAAGATGTCACTACCGGTTTCGTGATAGTGCAATACGGTACGGACTGACGATAATATCTTAATGGTCATATTTTATTAGCACATTATGTATCATTACGTGTTATGACATTATAAGCCAATATGTACTTTATAATTTCTAGTTATTACTTATTTAGCAATAGTTAGTACTTACTACTATATTTGTTAGTTTGTGTTATCGACGATGGGGACCAAAAAAGGCATTTCCCACCATACGTCTTAGGTCCTTACTCACTCAACAATTACTTGACGATAAATTAATAACTAATAATTATTGAGTTACCACTATATTATAATAGACTAATATATTATGATATTCATCTTTTTTTCATTTAAGATGAATACATTATAAATGTTTACTTACACTGCTAAATTATGATTACATTTCCCAATTTTTTGACAACTACATGTATGATCATTTTTGTTTTCCCTGCTACCTATACAGCTTTTACTTTTTTATCAAACATAATTATATGATAAATCAAAAATAGTAGAGATAATGGATATTACATTTGGATGGTCAAATTAATATGAATTGTGAATGATAATAAAATACAATTAAAACAAAAAATCTAATTATAAAATAAATATATAGTGATTTGTAATTTAGAACACTGCTTGGTTATCTTTTATACTTGTCGAACGCACAATTTTAGTCTCTGATGCAGACGGTTCGTGTTTATTTTTTGATTAGTCAACAAATATGGGGTGCCAATAGTATCTTGAACAGTAATTTACTCAATCGAACTTCTTATGTCTATAACATATGCATCGTATTTTATGAAATTGAGGATATTTTTACTGATATATATTTTATTTTTGTTTTTAAGCATTGTAAAAAGTATAACTAATTAAATTTAATAGTACCTTTCGCATGCAAATGGGTAAACGTGAGACTTCTACACGGTTGATATGGTATAAACTAGCTAGAAGTTTTGAATGCTATAACTTATCAAAGTTTGATTAAATCGTACATGAATAATATATTTGTTTTAATGACTTCGAAATTAAAATTGGAAAACAGTGTTCGTGCCACATGGAACATACATGGAGTAGTTTATTGTTATTTATCAATCACATTTTCAAATTAACATTCAGATCTTGGTTTCTGCATAATAATAATGTGATTTAATATACTAATTGAGACATGTAATTTCGAGTGTAGATTATATAACACTATAAGTCTATGCTGGATGTATGAATAGTATGTGATTCAACTAAATATCAGTAAATAATAAGACAACAATAATGATATCAATAATAAAAAACATTTTTTTCTCTATATTTTTAAGAACAAAATATGAATAAATGTTAAAATACAAATAAAAAACATTTTTTTTTTTACCTTAAGTTATTAGCTAATCTTGATTAAATTTGAATCGAATGTTATGATGTAATTATATTTTTTTTGTAAAATCTAAACATATTATGCGTGCGGTATTCATGGAAGTTATCAATAAACATTGAATAAAGAGTTTATCAAGAAATGTTTATTTTTCTATCCCGTATAGCAAAACATACATCCCCCGTGACAATCGGAATACTCGGTGCACGCTTTCGAATAAGCAAAATTCTCCTTTTTTCGTAAAGTACGACAATATTGGATATTTTTTCAGGATTTTATTAATTCATTAATGCCTATACTAGATTATAATAGTAACACGGCGTCTTGGATAGGCTATTTAGCTACACCACGTCACTACAATAATAATACCACCGCTGCTCGTCAGTCGTTATACAACAGATAAATGATTTTACTCGTAATAATTACACCAATTAATTTAATAGCAATCACATTTATTGTATTTTTAAAAATAAACTTTTTTCTATTTACTTTATTCTACTATTTTGTTTAACTGCTCCCAACAAAGAATACCCACTGAAGTTTTAAAACCACTTGGCAATAATAGTTCAAATTCACAATTCGTTCATAAATTTTTATAATTTTTATTTTGTATTGAACATTAGAATTATTATTTACCTAAAACATTCAACTGACAAATATTTTGTTAAACACTTATATAAATGCAATTTTATAAGGAGTATAACAATTTACTAATGTTTTTTAGTATTACCTAGGTATGTTGAGGGATAAAGATTGTACGTGGTGAGTACATTGTAAAGGTTAATAAATATCTAAATTTTACTTAATTTACATTTATCTAAATATGTATCAACAATTCTCATGATGAACTACTTACAAGTTCATATAGAATATTGCGCCTTATCAAATAATGACTTTCAATACAGTATGTATAAATTATATCAGCTATCACTACTATTATCATTGTCATACCCCAGTAATTTATTGTAGGCTTTAATTTATCCTAACCATGCTCCTCGTGTAATTAAATTGTTGCCTAATTTTTAAGGAAATTAAATATTTGATAAAAACATGGCAATAGATAGAAAAATCCTCAGACCTAATTTTCGCCAAAAAAACAGATATTAAATTTTTCTGATACTATTCATATTTCAATTTTGTTTTTAATATTAACTATTACTTATTACTAAACTGCGTAATATTATATATTAGGTTCATTAACATTTGCATTTTCACATATTATTATACAAATTGTGACAACTCGAGTATGAATGCAATACATTTAAACAATTTTTTAATAACTATTTAAAGAAATTGTGTTTTTTTTAAATATAAATAAGTGTGATTTATCATTTAAAATTCCTCAAGGGTGAGCTATCATTTGGTTTTTGTCTTATATAATATATTCATATACATTATAAATTTACAACTACTCAGTGACTTTAAGGTTTGAATTCAAAGACATTTATTTAATTTCCATTCTTAAGTTTTATCATGCAATTCCTATTTTTACGAGACTTTTTGGGGTTCGCTCTAAAAAATAACGACACCAAAAGGTATAATAAGTATATTATACATTCAATGTACATTGCGCATGGAACAATATGAGCTTTGCAGTTTACAGTCATAAAAAACTAATATATTTTTAACTTTTCGTGCGTTTGAAATAGTTCTTTTTTATTTTGTTTGATAAACACCACTCCATTTTTTAAAATTAATAACAAACAAACAAAATTGTAATATCAACAACATACCTGTTTCCGTAACAATAATTGGAACTATGAAAATCTAGGAACACTAAATAATTACAAGTAGAAAGTGTAGACCCATGTACAAAAACAAAATATAATTAAAATGTATTAGCTGTTTATAATATTAGCGTTATCAACTTAACATCCAAGTAGCACCATAGTATACTCGGATATGATAATATTTTATGATCATACGTGTATAAACAACTACGAGTTGTGAATTATTGGTTCTGATATTATCAAAATAAGATTTTAATTAAAATCATTTAAAACAATAGTATGTATATAATATTCATTCGAATAGCTTGCAAGCAGTAAAACTGTGAATTGTTCGATATGAATTTTCACAAAGTAAAAAAAAATGTAATTTATATGAGTGCTGATAAACGATATAACTCAGAAAATATATCAACGTATTTTATTATTTGTGTAAAACGTACGGTCAGTTGTATTATATTTTCACCAGTAAATTTATGCAAATTGTATATATTACTCATAATCGATTCAATATTCATAATACCTCAAAAATTGTTTTCAATGTCCTTTCGATGATCTGTTGTGTGAATTATATTTTTTGTACGGAGACGATGACACTTCTGGGTACGTAATTGTAGCCAAATAATACTAATTAAAAACATTCCTTAATTTTATTACATTTATTTGTCTAGTAAAATGGGTTTTTTGATAAAATAAAATTTCGTTATAATCTTATACGACCAACACATCGTAATAATTATGACTTATGTTATTAATTAAGCTATTTAAAACGCTGATCCTTATTTTTAAAGATTAAACAGAGCTTATATTTTCGAAAATTGTGAAAATATATTGATCGATTGCAGAAATCCAACATTTGAAATGTCTAAAGATACATAGTCATATGCCCATATAGGGTAAGACTTAAATTAAATCATTGCCAATTGGCTATTATACATATCCTAAAACATATTTTGAATTACAACTTTTTTCCATTCTAATCAAATCTTGCCGGTAACTAACCATCGTCCGGTCTTGACTGTTCTTGATTACTGGTGTATGTAGAAAATAGAAACCCTTTTTCCAAGACAAATAATTATAACATAATTTATCATGTATAGAAATAGTGAACAATAAATGTTTCTTTCATTTCATCATGATAATAAATAATAAAACAGATACTCTTTTCGTAATTTTACATTAAATATATTTTAAATTTCAAAAAATGTAAATATTAATTTACGGCTTATAAATAATTTTAAAGAAGTCTTGATGCGAACGAACAACTTAGTAGCGTTTAACTTCTATGGAAATTATAAGTATAACTATAGATAATTAAATTTTATGGCCATAAATATAACGAGTTGAATAATACAAATAAATCTGCATACAAGATGGATTCATTTAACTTGTCATCTTAAGATTTTAACATAAGATAATATTATGTCG